TTTTTTTTTTTTTTAATTTCATGACCATATTAAGGGGATTCCCATGTTAGCAGGAAGGGAATGGGAACCCCTAAACTTTAGTTAAACCCTTAAGATCATGCTAGAGAAGGTTGAATTATTAAGTCTTACATACAGTTTGTGCTTAAGAGGAAAGCTGAAGACTTAGGGGGCACATAGCATGTGTGTGTGTGGGGGGAGGGGGACAGTGTCACAGATCGGGGAGAAGTCCAATACAGTGACACCTGTTCACTCTGCAGGCGAGCTGAATGCCAAGGATTTTTGCAAAAGTCAGATTAAAGACAGATTATAAGTACATTTCAAATTTGGAGTGCTTTTGCGTGACCCAAATATGTTTTCACAGATTTGGACCGGCCTAGTGAGGAAGTTTTCTCTCGAGATCTTCCTGATTTTCCATCCATAGAAAATGGCATGGGGACAAATGATGAAGATGAATTAAGCCTGGGCTTGCCCGCGGAGCCGAAGAGGAGACAGGATCGAGTGGACGGCGGCCACGCGGCCAGCGGACAGAAGCCGCCCGCGGCCGGGCTCGCCCTGCCCCTGGGCGGCCAGCTGGTGCGCAGCCTGGCCGGGGAGGTCATCTCGGCGGCCGTGTCCGCCGCGGTCGCAGACCAGCTCGGGGCGCTTGCGGCGGCCGCGCCCGGCGCCGGGGACGACACAGACTCTGAAGAGGGGGACGACTTTGAACTGCTTGACCAGTCAGAGCTGGATCAGATTGAGAGCGAGCTGGGACTCACGCAGGACCAGGACACGGAAGGACAGCGAGGCCAGAAGCCTGCGGGCTTCCTTTCCAACCTCCTGGGCAGCCACTGAGCGGGCGCGGCTCGCCCAGAGCGCAGACCACCGACAGGCTTACCCGAGCAAAACAGGCAAAACCAAAAACAAAAATGAAGAAAAATGGGGGAAATTGAACTGTAAGCTTTAATGATCACTTTAGATTTTCTTTATTTTCCCTTCTGTGGTGAATTAACTGGATTATATATCAGTTGACGCTGATAGAGTGATATTTGATAGTTATTTTTATGTAATAAGCATGGAAATGAACTTCATATACATACATACCATGTTGTCAGAAATACTAGCTGTTTTTAAAGCAAAAAAGAAATAAAAACCAAACACCAAATTATTACGATCCCTCTATAAGTATTCTTTATAATTAGTTTTCAAGCATGCAAGTTTATAACTTACTGAAAATATTAATAATTAATTGCGACTACATGCTGTCTCAGCTCCCTTGTTTCTAATACTTGGAAATAATTTTTAAAAACTGGTAAGTTTAGATGTAAAAAGACAAATTATCAGCATATCTTTAGTTGACGGATTGGGAAATATTATCAAAATTAATTTCCTAGGAAAAATTGAACAACTAAGAACTACAGCTAGGCTGGAACGTTTCCTTGTTCTTTCTGCAGCTGTGGACACAGGCATGCTTGTAAGGTGGTGTGTGACTGATTGCCACCTCCAGTCTTGTGACGGGTGAGGCTGTGGTGGTTCATTTTGGTCCTCAGTGACAGGGACCCCTTGAGTGCAGGCCTGTCCTGCCTGCCCGCACCTAAGTCAGATGTTCCTATTTTATGTCATGTCATGGAAAATGTCTCCTAAAATTGTGAAAGTAGTTATTAACGTGTTCTACGAGTGATGTTGTCATCTCAATAAAGAAATAATAACTCTTGTTTTCTTAGTCTGTATAGATAGGAAAGGTAGCTGGCTTTAAGTATTTATTTGGAATTGAGGTCTAAGTACGTCATCTGTTTCCTACCAGGGAGCTAGAGTATATTTTTTTCCTTTGCCTTAAACTTTTTTAGATCATCTTTTAATCATCAAATTTGGCTTCCAGTTTTTAACAAAGGACTACAAAGCAGAAACCAAGATAGTTTTGTTTTTATGGCGCGATTTCTAGTGTCATTGAGGGACCGTGTCAGCAACTGTGAAACATTTCTTAACCCTTCAGGGTGGCTGGCATTTGGGCAGGTGCGCGGACATCTGAGGCCTTCGGGATGCGAGGCTCACCTAGGAGTGTAGGGGATCCCAGCTGCCGTCCTTGCGCTTCACCCATTTCTCGTATTTCTAAAGACTAGGTAACTAATACTGTAGTGAAGTGTCTCTTGTTTATTTTCTGTTTCTGAGCTGTCGCGACTGAATTTGCCAAATGTTAAAGGGAAGAAAGTTCCCGAAGACTTCCAACACTCGCTTTTTGTGATTGACTGTACCTGTGTCGTTAGTGCCTCGTGCCTGTTTGACGTCCTTTACCATGATAGCAAGTGAACCTGTGCCTTCCTTATCTCGCCCCTTTTGGTACAAATGTAAACCTGTGTTAGATCATCTCTGAACCGTGTGGTTTCGGAAGCACACCTGACTCCTATTCTGGACATGAGAAAAATACAATCACATATTAATCAAATAGTCATTGCTGAGATTCTTTTTTTTTAAAAAAATGTTTCTTCATGTTAAAAAAATATTCTTGGTCTTAAAGCAAGAAGTTTAAACATCGTTTTGGTTTCTTCATTAGAAGGAAGAATTTAAATAACCAAATAAAGAATAGGTTGTAAGTCATTGGACAAGCTTATAACAATATAAATTCAGGGTAATGTGTGTCTGTGAACAATAATTTGAGTAAGTTGTTATAAACTACAAATTAAAATGGGCTTGGGGATGGACGGTAGGTCGGGTAGAAGACTGTCATTGGCACTGCTGAGACCTATCAGCGACTGGTCTGGGGAGAGGAGCTTTACAACTACACAGTCCACGTTACTTATATAAGGATTTGTGATTACAAATTTAAATCATAATGGTAGTCTTCTCAAAACTTTCAATTCTGATGGATGTGGGGATGTTGAAGATTGTGTGTTTGTGTGTGCAGGGTACTGTTTCTGTTGATACAATGCCAAATAAATGCTGTGCTTGATCCAGTGTGATACGGGACCTTCACCTATGAAATAGGTCAATAGCAGTATTCCTCAAATATCTACAACACTGATCAAGAATGGCCTTGTGAGATGTAAGTGGACTGCAGTTGATACAACGAGAACCATGGTTTTACTCACTTCCTGTAGAAAGTATGCGCAGTGGACCTGACTTCTTGATGTATCTTACCCAGAAACAATAAAGTAGTGCTAAAGAAGTTGGCGTTCACTTGGGGAGGTCATCCACTTCGAATATTCTCATTACACTAAAAGTCTTCCAAAGTGATTTTTAAAAGGATGGCCCCCTCTCTAATACAGTATTAGAAAAGAAACTTCCATAAGGTTTTTGCAATTGGCAAACATCCTCAAATTATGCACTTGATTCTTGTTTTTTAAAGTAAGTGCAAATCTCATTTAAGACGTGGCAAATGACAGGGTATAACTGGTTTTAGCCGGAAGATTTCCCCTCTTTTTTAGACCAAGAATCAAACTCAGGACCTTACACTTGCCAGGACGGAGCTGAGCCACTGAGCTATATGCCTGATGTTTTTAAGGAAAAATTTGTATTATTTTCATTTCCTGTTTATTCCTGTATTTCTTTGCACTGCTCCTTAAGACAGATTATTACGAAAGGCCTGTATGAACGATGTTAATGCAGATCATTTGTGTCATGATGCTGTTAGAAAGGACTATATTTTTGCACATTACGCCTCCATTTCCACTGCATCATTTTGCTAGAAAGAAATGTGGAAATATAGGTTCTGGTTAGGATGTTAATGTTAGGGCCTTGCGACATAAAGTCAGAGTGGAATGACAGCCACAGTAGCTTTCCTTAATGGTAAAATAAGGAAGTCAGTTCATACCCTGTTCACAGGGACGCTTTGAGAATGGATGGATGAATGTGTCTAAAGCAATTTCAGGGGTGAAAGGGTTACATAAAACAAACCTTTTTTTTTTTTTTTTTTTTGCCTGTGTCCCAACTAAGCCATTATTTTATTTTTTAAAAAATTATTCATTTATGGGATTACAGGCATGTACCACCACACCCCATTTTGGTGGCCAGCATGGTGCACCCGGGGTTATGGGGCCAGCACAGCATGCAGCACGGGCGATCAAACCTGGGTCTTTGCACTTGCCTGGCAAAGCTATCTCCCCAGCCCTAAGACATTATTTTAATTAGTAAACCAAAGGCAACCACCAAACATCTGCCTACAAGAAAACTATAACATTCTCTTAATGGTGTAGCACTATATGGGCCTCAAAGTGCAAAATGTGGAATAAAAAATAGGTGAGAGGGGCTGGTGAGATGGCTCAGTGGTCTAAAGCACCTACTTGGAACAAGCTTGGCAAAACACAGGGACCGCGGTTCATCCCCCAGCACCACATGCCAGCCAGCAGCGCCCCCTGGTGGGCTGAGCTGGCCACACACACACAAATTTTAAAAAAATGAAAAAAAAAAAAAAAATAGGTGAGAGATAAGAAAAGAGTGTGTTCCTGCAGTTGGCTCTGGGGACCATGTCTACGCTTCTTCTGTACCAGTCAAGTCTCATGATTCTGAAACTTACTGATGACTCTAGGAAGGCCACATACCAATTTTAAGTCTGTTTCTTTCATTTACAAGACAAAGATACTTAATGTGGCCCTTGTAGGTCACGCAAGGACGAAATAGCCCAAGGCTCGCCTGGCGAATAATGGCCAGGGCTCAGCTCTCATCTATTACCTGTTGCTATATGCATGACAATGAGTTTCACATTCTTAAACAGTAGATGAAGACCCCAGGAGGCTATTTTGTGACATGAAATAGGTATGAAAATAAAATTTCAGCATCTGTAATGTACATAGAACCTGGCCATAGTCATTCATTTGTGTGTAATCTCTGGTCACTTTTATATCACAATACTGGATAGTTGGGATAGAGACAACAGGCATACAAAACCTACCTCAGTATTACCTGGCCCTTTATTGGAAAAGTAAGCTAATCCTTGGATTAAGATGTGGAGAACTCTGGTTACCAGGACCTTGTTTACTTCTCATGACTGTACAATTAAGTGGTGTTTTAGCCCATTTTGTTGCTATCACAGAACCTCTGAGACTTGTCAATTTATAAACAAAAGACATTTTTATTTAACTTCCAGTTTTGGAGCTCCAGTGACATGGCATACAAAAAAATAGTAAAACATTTGCTTGGCTTGTGGTGAGGGCCAGGTTCTGCTCCACGCATGGAGGAAGGGTGGGTGTGAAAGTGGGTGTGTGTGAAAGGGGGTCATGAGGGGGTAAGGGCTTTTAAACAATTCACTATGGTGGCAACTAACCTACTTCCTGAAGACTTAACTTACTCGAGAGTCCTAATCCAATCTTGAGAAAACTGACCCAGGCTCTCCATGGATAATTCTTTCCATGCATGAAGGTACAACCCCCCACCCAGGCCCTCCAGAGGTAATTCGTCCCATTCACCAAGGTACAATCCCACCCCCATCAGGCTCCACCTCTAGTAAGTGGAATTAAGAGCATTTTGGTGAAAAACGGTAAATAAACTAAGGTCACTACCAGCCCAACCCCAAGGTATCTTCTTTCCAGTTCACTGGAAAAATAATACAGTGGAGAAAACAATGCCCCTTGAAAAGAAGACACAAAGTGGCACCTTCAAAGATGTTGAAATTCCCAGGAGGAGCGTGAAACAGTGGAGGCGGGAGGAAACAATTGCCTGAAGAACAGACGCCCGAAGAATCATACAAAAACGATAAAACATAAGGGAAAGTAAAACCAGAAGTTCTTTACTTCTTATAGCTACCCGTTCTGCTTTACTTTTAGGGAAGCTTGAAAATATATTGTTTTCATATTCCAATTGGTGACTGATGCACGTTATATTTTTTAAAGTATGTCTGAAGAACTCAGCAACTTAAAAAGGATTTGACAATCTAAGCCAAGTTTCCTGAAATAAAAACAGCCACTGACTTGGGCACTGCAAAATTATTCTTTCAGCAAAACCGAACGATCTGTGTGCCAGCGCTGTTCTTGCACCGTGGAACACCACAGGGCGGAGTGCCTGCCTTCTATTCCAGGGGCAGCCGACTAATCTACTTTGTCCAGGGTTGAAAGTTCCAAGGCAGGGCTTCCAGAACTGACTGGGAGGTCTGGGTGAACGACAGATGGAGTGGTGGCCAGTCTCTCAAGGTGGACCCGAAGACCTTCTTGTTCACCTACCTGAGCGCACGCTAACAGTGGAAGCAACTGCGGTTTCTAAGGCTAGGTTCTAAGCGACGGGGGGCTCTGCTTCCTCTGGGGAAACCCACTGCATCTCAGGCCGGCTTACAGTGCAGCAGTCGGCCTCGCCAAGACCCAAATCCTGCTGTCAGCCTTGTGAGGAGCCCTTGGGATTAGCCAAGGTAAAGAAGTCGCCTTTCAGTGTTTTCAGCACTGGCCTCCACTGCAACTTCAGGAACCCAATACACTATACACCAGACAGCACGTGTTTGATGTACAGTATACTTCAGAAACACTCAGTTATGGCACTCAAATGCCTGACCTGTAGAAACTGGGATAAAGTTATTCTAAGCTTTAGTTTATGGAGTAAACATCTGCTAGGGAGACAGGGTTCAATCCCTGGCTTGCCTACTGGCCCCCACCCCCGGGGCACACTGAGACAGGAATGAGACTGGGCATGGTGGCGTGGGCCCACAATCCCAGCGCTAGGAAGGCTGAAAGAAGGAGGTTCACTTCAAGTCTGATCTGCGTAGTGAGACCGCATACTAAATACATTAACAGATGAACTAATAACTGACAGGCTTTATGAAGGGCAGTTATGCCTGGTAAGGATTTAGAGTTGGGGTTAGGATTACTTTTTTGGTTTTTAATCTTATTTATTTGGTACAGGGTCTTGTTACATAGCTCCGACTCTAGGGTGATCCTACGGTCTCAGCCTCCCCAGCACTGGGATTACAGGTGTGCGCCACCATGCCTGGTACAGCATGTGGTCCGGGCAATTGAACCCTGTCCTTGCTCTTGCCAGGCAGGCGCTTAGACTGCTGAGCTATCTCCCCAGCCCCACGCTTGCTTACTTTTTACTCATTAACGCATTTGGGCACAGATGTAAAAAAAGAGCAAAGCAGCTGAAGACGTTCCGAGCATAAAAGTAAAGGATTTGTAAGAACGCACCTTCTTAGAACAAAAAATGCCACGGTGGCAACCAGGACGTGCAAGGTGGAGAACCTGGTGTGGTAGGGAATTAAAAGTAGAGCTAGATGTGTGGCAGGTCCTCAAAGGCCTCGGAAAACACAAAGGGTGTTTGAATTTTATTGTTATTCAAGGGAAGCCACTGACACGGCCTTTATTTATTTTTTGTGTGGTACCGGGGATCGAACTCAGGGCCTTGCACAAGCAAGTCAGGTGCTTTTGCCACGGAGCTGTCTCCCACGCCCCCTCCCCCCCTTTTCTGTAAATTTCCTCTCTTGGCGTTACCGGCAGTTTGGAAGCTGCAATGTTCAGTTCTGTAACAAAGCAGATTCTAGTCCTACAGGCTGTGCAGATGAATCTACGAATTCCCCATGCCTGTGAAGCTCACGTTCTCTGTAACTGCTGTCTGATGTTTAGTATATTGGGTTACCTGGGCAACCTACCCAACGGCAACCCACCTGGTCAATCTGAATTGAGATGAGCAGTTCACTGGAAAGCACAGCGTGGATTTTTGGATTTTCAAGATTTAGTGCCAACGGAAAAATGTGAAGTATCTCAATTCCTTTGGGCTAGTTACACGTTTAATTTTTTTTTTTTTTTTTAATGTAGTACAGGGTCTGCAGGGTCTCACTTGTGGATCGCACTCAGAGGTCTCCTGTTGTCAGCCTCCCAGGCGCTGGGATTGCGGCACGCCCTCGCCGGCTCAGCCGCAGCCCAGTCCCAGCGTGCACCGGAGGCTCGGCCGGGACCGAACGCCGGGGATCGAATCCCGGCCCTGTGCTTCGCCTAAGCAGGCGCTTTAGTTCGCTGAGCTATCTGGCCGGCCCGATATTTTGCACTGATTGGGTTAAATAAAATGTATTAGTAAAAGCAGTTTTACCTGTTCTTACTTAAAAACGAAAACCAGCGTGGCTGCTGTTGGTTCGGCGCCGCACCTGTGAGCTGGCTGTGCTGCAGGACCCTCGCAGGCAAACTCCGCACTTTCAGTTTTGCCCAAAGGGCCGATTCCCGGGGCTCCAGGCGGCGGGGCGGCCCGGCTCCGAGACGCCTCCCAGCGCTGGGCAGGCCTGCGGCGGCCGCGGACCCGCTTCCGGCACCGCCGCGCCTCGCCGCCTCACACCGCGCAGAGCGAAGCGGCAGGCGCGCCACCCTGAGGCCACTCCGCCCTCCCCCCCCACGCCCACGTGGGCGGCTGGGCGGTGCCAGCGTCGACGCAGTCATTGGCTCCCTCGACTTCCGGGGCGTGACCGGATCGAGAGGCGGGACTTCCGGCGCCGCTCGGCACTAGTTCCGGTGTGCGTCAGAAGAGCCTGCGGTGCAAGTCCGGAAGTCAGGCGCGTGGGCTTTCCGCTCTCGTGGGCCGGAAGGGTGACTGCTAGGTTCGTGGCTCCGGCGCCTCTTGCTTCGTCTGGCGATGGCGACGTACACCTGCATCAGCTGCCGGGTGGCGTTCCGCGACGCGGAGATGCAGCGGGCCCACTACAAGACGGACTGGCACCGCTACAACCTGCGGCGGAAGGTGGCGGGCATGGCCCCGGTCACCGCCGAAGGCTTCCAGGAGCGAGTGCACGCGCAGCGGGCCGTGGCGGAGCAGGAGAGCAGGGCCACGGCCACCTACTGCACCGTCTGCAGCAAGAAGTTTGCCTCTTTCAACGCCTACGAGAATCACCTCAGGTCCCGGCGGCACGTGGAGCTGGAGAAGAAGGCCGTGCAGGCGGTGAATCGCAGAGTGGAGATGATGAACGAGAAGAACCTGGAGAAGGGCCTGGGCGCGGACAGTGTCAACAAGGACGCCATGAACGCGGCCATCCAGCAGGCCATCAAGGCCCAGCCGTCCATGTCCCCCAAGAAGGCGTCCTCTGGGCCCGCAGACGGATGCGGCGGGGCCGCGGCCGCCGGGGGGCGCGGGGCGCACGACCGAGACCCCGCGGAGAAGCCGCCTCGGCTGCAGTGGTTTGAACAGCAGGCGAAGAAGTTGGCCAAGCAGCAGGGGGAGGAGAGCGAGGAGGAGGAGGAGGAGGAGGAGGAGGAGGACCTGGATGAAGAAGGTGTGGCTGGGCTTGGGGAGGAAAAGAGGGCCTTGTCGCCCCTTAGGTTTCCCGATTTAAACCTGGGGAGTGTGAGCGTGGAAGGGAAAAGGAGCGAAGGGGTCTCATTGCTCTGCAGAGTGTCTTCTCTGGCTCGTAACCTCGCAGGGAGTTTTGTCCGTTAGCTTCTGTGTTGTACATTCAGGGCTTACAACAATATCTGGGAAACGTAGGTGCTTCGTTAATACTTGTAGGAAGAATTGACGTGCGTTTAGACGAGGAGCTCTCCAATGTCTGCGTAGAAGGACGTGCTGTTGACACCTGCTTGCAGAATTTTGAATGTAGTGAGTTCCCTGTTATAATGGACTAGTGCTTAGTTTAGTTGATTAAAACTGAAGAGGCGTTCAGAATCAACTAGCACATCTGAAAAGTGCAGCTTGAGCCATCGCCTAGCCCCTTTGACTTTACGAGCTCTTTCTTCTTTCCTCATCCTGTATCCTAGTGCAAGTTTATGTCTTAGTCCATCTGTGCCTCTATACCAATGTACCAAAGGCTGGATAGCCTATTAGCAACGTCAAATTGATTTCCTAGGTGTGGAGGCCAATGTCAAGGTGGTACCAGATTTATTGTCTGGAAGGCCTGTTCCATTGCCGTGGGGTGGGGGGCGACAGTGGGTGATTTTTTTCTCAGCATGGGAATGGCAGAGGGAACTAGCTAGTTTCCCCAGGCCCTTGTTCATTCGTGTGGGCAGGGCGCTGATTCCCTCCTAGAAGTTTCGCCCTCTGGACACCATCACCTTGATGTTTAGGTTTCACTGGGGAAGGGCACACACGCACTGCAGGAGTTTGTGTTGCGTCCCACCGCACACACTCGGGTAGTGCTCAGGGAAGTGGTAGACATTGCTAACAGCAGTTTGTAGAGCTGTTCAGCTGTGTGTGAGACCACTGAGCTGTGTGTCCTGCGCTGTGCAGGTGTTGTGAAGCGTAGGAAAGAAGCCCAGAGGTCATTGTGGACTGAGAAGGGCTGAGAGGCTCCTTAGCCGTGTGAATGTGACTGTGGTCAGGAAAGGCTGACCTTGAGATTTTGAAAGAGGAATGTCTAGGATGGTGGAATTGGAACTTGGTCTGCCCAAATATGTCACTTTGTGCGAGCCATTGTGATATCTTTGACTGCAGTTACCATGCCTCCTTAATTAACTTTCTTTTTCAAAACTCTGGCTTGAAGATTGGGAAGATATTGATTCTGAGGAAGAAATGGAGATGGAAGATACTGACGTTGTGGATGACTTGGACAGGCCGGATGCCCAGGAGGGAGAAGCCCGGGAAAGCCCACCCCGAGGAGCCATCCCTGTAACGGACTGCTTGTTTTGTTCCCATCATTCAAGCTCCCTGGTGAAGAACGTGGCGCACATGACCAAAGTCCACAGCTTCTTTATTCCTGATATAGAATATCTTTTTGACCTTAAAGGACTAATTAAATATTTGGGTAGGTATGATAGTTTTCCTAATGAGGAAAGAAAGGGGCAGGTCTTAAGGGAACATTAGTAGTTTTGTATTTGTCATCAAACTCTGGTTTAATTCCTTGCTAAATTTGTGAAAATTAAAAACTTAGCGAATGGTTTTTGAATTGCAGAGATGAAGGATGAGATTTACTGTGGCTAAAGGAAAATTTTTGTTCATAGTTTTCCCTCAAATTATTTGACTAGGAGAAAAAGTTGGTGTTGGGAAGATTTGCTTGTGGTGCAATGAGAAAGGGAGATCCTTCTACTCCACGGAAGCCGTGCAGGCCCATATGAATGACAAAAGCCACTGTAAGCTCTTCACAGATGGTGACGCTGCCTTGGAATTTGCAGACTTCTATGATTTTAGGTACGTCTGGGAAGACTCTGGTCCTCATGTTTGCACCAAAGCGATGGTGTGCACTGTGGTAATAACTCATATGACACTTTTGTCTGAATTAAGAAAATCAGTTTGAGTTTAATACACCCAGGAAAGGGAAGATCCCAGGCCTACACTGCAGGTTGCCTGCCTTGTTTTTGTGGTTTGATTGCCAGGAGTTCAGTTTTGCCGAGTTACTCTTGAATAGAGGTATAGAAATTTGGTTGTTTTGAGTTCTGTGAGAGACCCTGAGTCACAGGATGTCTCTTAAGATAGTTGAGGGACTGGGGGCATAGCTCAGTAGAATAAGTGCTTGCCTGGCAAGCGCTGGGTCCTGAGTTCGATCCCTGGTACCACACACACACACACACAAAGATATATAAGATGGTGGCTAAACTAGGCCAGACCCTAGCATTTGGTGGTGAAATTATTCCCTAAGTGGTTCAGCCCTAACTGGTGTCTTTAGAGTTTGTACATTGTGCAGCAGATCTGTTAGATGTTCCTTAACACCTAGTTCCTGTTGTCAGAATTCCTACGATGTAGCAAAGCAGATAGGCAGGTGCTTAGAATAACCATTCCAAGCACGCACAGCCCAAGTGATACTGGCGTTCAGAAGCTTGGTCTTTGGAAACTTCTTTTTGCGATTTCCCGTTTTACAGCTAAAGACTTACAGTTGGTGAGGAAGAAGGCTGCTTAGGAGTGGAAACAGTTTCTGGGCCAGTTTCCTGCGAGACAGCAGTGTTTGTGATCTTTTGACGCAAGTTCTCATCGAGTGGTCAAAGCAGATCCCAGAGATCTCTGGTGACCCCTTGTAGATTTATGACTTCCAAATTTGTAGCTCTTGAACAACCGTTCCCTTCTCCCCAGCCTTACATATCCAGCTGTCCTGACATTTTTTACTTTATCCAAAATCAAACTTTTCATGCCCTATAACCTGCTCCCTCTGAGTAAGTGAGACCTTCCAATACTTAGGCTAAAAGTCTTGCAGTCATCTTTTCAATTTTATTTCATCCTTGCACGAATCTCTCTGCCTTGGGGTTGTCTTCTGCATGTGACTAGTGCTGCTGCTGCCGGGGTCCGGATCAAGGTGAGCTTTCACAGGCTTTGTGCAGTGACTCCTCCCTAGTCTTCCAGCTTCATTCCTCCCACCTATATTCTCTTCTCATAGGCAGCTGCAATGTGATTCTTTTTTTCTTTTTTTTAAAATTTAATGTGTTTTAGTACAGGGTTTACAGGGTCTCACTACACAGATTGGACTCGTAGTGATCCTCCTGTTTTTCAGCTTCCCAAGTGCTGGGATTACAGGCACGCGCCACCACGCCCGGTCTCAGTCATTGTCTCAGCGCTGGGGATTGACCCCCCAGCCTGTGTCCACCACCTGAGCAGGCGCAGTACTCACTGAGCTGCTTGGCCGGCCTTTGCAGTGCGATTCTTGTACAGCATTCAGCCAGATCGGACTCAGCTCAGAGTCCTCAAGGGCTGCTTGTCTTAAAAAGCTGTGTGGACTGCTCCCTCTGGCCACAGCTGTGGTTCTGGTGTTTTCTAATTCTTGCTCTCTGAGTTTCTAGCCAAGCTTCTCGTACACAGTGTGTTTCTCGGGACCTTTGTGCTTCCTGTTGCCTCTGCCTATAACCCTTACTCAGCTGGTCCTACAGCTTGTCCTCCCACTTCCTGCAGGACTTTGCTTAGTTTTTCTTTCCTGGTGTGGACTTCCCTGATCGATCGATCGATCGATCGATCGATCTATCTATCTATCTATCTATCTATCTATCTATCTATCTATCTTTCTTTCTTTCTTTCTTTCTTTCTTTCTTTCTTTCTTTCTTTCTTTCTTTCTTTTTGGCAGAACCAGGAATTGAACTCAGACCCTTGCGCTTGCCAGGGAAGCGCTTATTCTACTGAGCCATCTCCCCGGCCCATGACCACCTTTCATAAACTGCAAATACCTGCTCATTCTGCCTCTCCCCTTGTTTTTACCTGTAGCCCTTAGTGCTGTCTCCTAGGATCTGTAAGGTAGGGTCTTTTATTGCTTACCAGCTATTGCCCAGACTACCCGTTTGAGTTAAAGTTTATAATTTGATGTTCATGGTTTAAGAAGTGAATTTCAGAGTCCAAATGTTGACTTTAAAAAAAAATTTTTTTTATGTATTTAGGAATTTAGGACAGGGTCTACAGGGTCTATAAGGTCTCACTGTGTAGCTTGGACTGGCAGTGATTCTCCTGTTTTCAGCCTCCCAAATTCTTAAGATTACAGGCAGGCGCCACCATGCGCCCAGTCTCAATCGCTGTCTCAGCATGCCCTGGGGGGTGGGGCCAGCATGGCAGGCTGGGGACAATCCGGGCCTTGCACTCTGCCTAAGCAGGCGCTCTAGACTGCTGGGCTATCTGGCCAGCTCCAAATGTTGACTTCTTTGGACTTCACTTACAGAGCTTATTCTGTTGTTTCCTAGAAATGAGAAATGGTAAAAAGCCTTATAAAAGTGAATATTAAATAACTTATTTACCTTTAAAAACTTGATAATAATAAGGAAACTTGGAAAATGGAAAATCCTCACATACAGTGCTGACATTTATTGGGTGCTTATTGACTTGCAGACACTTGCTGTGTGGATTTACCTTATTATAAATGAACAGATTTCCTGTGATTCCATCCTTGCTTCCAACTGACTAGGGTCAATTGGTTCTTGACTTGAAATTTTATATTGTGGAATGAAGTTGAAAGCTCAGCACATAAGCACCTGCCTGGCAAGCACAAGGTCCTGAGTTTGATCCCTGGTACCACAAAAAAAAGCATAAGCTTGGAGAAAAATACATTAACATACAACACATACGACACCTAATTCAGACCTGTAAAATTTTAAATATAGCAAACATCCACATCAAGAAACAGAATATTAGTAATATCCTGACATTTCCCTTGCGCGTACTTCTAGGCATTATCCCGCCAAACTCCTAGAATGACTGCTGTTCTGCCCTGTAAACTACACAGTAGCTCTGTCTCTTTCATCTTCTATAAACAACACTACTGGCCTGCTTGGGGCTGGGGATGGCTCAGCAGAATAGTGCTTCCTGACAAGCACAAGGGCCTGAGTTCAATCCCTGGTTGTGCCCCCCACCCCCACCCCCCCAAAAAATGCTCTGGCCTGCTGTTGCACTTCGCCTCTCCGGGACTCACGCGTACTGTTTTTGCAGTCTTGGTTCGTTCCCTCTTGGTGGAGCGGGTTGTGCTGAGTGCTGTGTGGTACCCGTCAGCAGCTGATGTGGCTCGGGGTACTGTAAGCAGTGCTGCTCCCTCGTTCTGGAGAGCGGCTGCCCTGTGGTGTTTTCAGGAGTTGGGCCAAAGGATGTACATGTGTTCAGCTTTAGAAGATGCTGTCCAGTTGTTCTCCAAAATGGCTCTGATACTTCTACTTTGAGGGTTTTTTTTAGCTGCTTTGGTGGGTGTATAGTGGTTTTAATTTGCATCTCTTTTGTATATTAATTGGCCATTGGAGAGCTTTTTATGAGGTATCTAGTCTTGTACATTTTCCCATTGGGTTGGATGGCTTTATGCCCAATGTCCGACTGTTCTTGTGTGATTAAATAGGAACTTGTGAACATTTCTGGAAAGAGAGTCTTCTAGAACTTCACTGTCCAATCCAGTGCTTACTAGATATACCCTTAGGACTGTTTAAATGAATAAAGGAAGTTAGAAATGTTCAGTTTTTCATGCATCCTAGATAGCCTGTGTTCTGAAGCTGAGCGTTCCACAGGCCGCATCTCCAGGGCACAGACGTCAGATATTTCTGTCATTGCAGCCTTCTGTTGGGTGTCACTGTCCTTCAACTTGATTTCCTCATGGTTAATTTGACTGGAGCTCCACGTCCATCCTGTTCCATATCCATCCTCTGCGTTTGATAATCTAGGGAGAAACACACAGGAAAAAGGCTCCGTAGGTCATTTGCTGACGTGCGTGGCGCGTGGCACAGCACTGTGTGTAGGTCGTTTTCTCTCCGTCATCGTTCTGCTGGTGCCCTCTGCCTTTCTGTGGTAGCTGGTGGGTCTGCACATTTGCAAGTGCAGTTCGTGCTTTTCAGTTAAATGAGAGGTGGGGCGTCAGGAGTCTGACAGTCCAGTTAAGACTTTCTGAAAAAAACGAAAGTTGCGCTCCCATGGCTTGCTCTCCACCCCCCGCTGGCGTGGCTGTGGGGCTCAGCCTGTCCCTGGGTGTCTCCCTGGTGGCTGCGGGAGTGCTTGGCACTGGATGACCCGGCCTTGCTGTCCCTGCGTTGTTTTGCTCCTCCACAGGGGACTGCGGTGACCTTGCCTGTAACGTGGGCCGGGACTCTGGGCTGGCAGCCCCCGGGCAGGCGCTGTCTTGGGCTGTGTCGCGCCTGAGGTGCGCCCCTTGTTGCTGCTTAACTCCTGGTCAAGGGCGCTGCCATCCTGGCCAGGCGGTTGTGGCCTTTGCAAGGAAATAGCAGGCAGATAGACGTCCTTTCTAAGGTCGGGCCCTGCGGCAGGACCGGCATCCAAGTCCTTGGCCAGCCTCGCTGCCCAGCCGGGATCCTACGGGTGCAGGCCTGCGCCGAGCTGGTGCCCTATGGGGCGGGCGTCGTGGGTCCGCGGGCCGCCCCGGCCCCAGCTCTGACTCCATTCTGTGGGAAGAGACGCGCGCTTGTTGCTTGTGTGCCCCAGTAGACAGCTGACAAACGGTTCTCCTGAAGTAGGACCTCTTTGTGTCAACTATGCCTTAGTAAGCTGATTTTAGAGCGCATTCCCAGGGCTAAGTAATAAATGTTGTTAAGTAACATAAAATAATGTGAGCTGGTCTCCTTACTGACACTATTTCTCCATTTCAGGAGTAGCTACCCAGATCACAAGGCCGGGGAGGACCCCGACGAGACGGAGGAGGTGCCCTCAGAAAAGAACTTGGAATACGATGAGGAGACCATGGAGCTGATTCTGCCTTCGGGTGGGTGTGTTTGTCAGACACGAAGCTTAGCATCAAAGGGTGTGGGGAGGCGGGGCTCCCTGAGGTCCCTGCTCTCCTGATGGCCGCAGAGGTCCAGTGGTACGTTCTCGTGCATGCGCACGCTGAAGTCGCTGTTGCGCTCTAAGTTGGTGGGGTTAAGTTGGATCTGTGCTTTTGCTCCGTCCGGTCTGATATGTGCAGACTGGGCCAAGTGCCTGCGTTGCCTGTCTTTGTTTCCTTTGGAGTGCAGGCTTGGAGCTGAGCTCAGCCTGCTCCTCGGGGAGTGGGCTCATGGAGGGTTGATCCTAAGCCTGAGGAGATGAGGAGTAACTCTGAAACAGAAGCCTGCACTGAGCTGGTAAGAAAGGGGCACTACAGAGGGCACCATGAGAAGCTGAAGGGAAGGGCGGTGGGCCTGATGACGAGATCCAAAGAGCGCTGGTGCTGAGCACATTGTGCTGCAGCGAGGGTCCGGGTAGGTCCTGTCACGCTCGAACGCATGGTGCTCGCTCTCTAGTGTGGAGCCCTTTTTTCCAGGTCACCCACCCTAATACACAGCAAGCCCTGTCTATCCTTGTCTTCCTCTGTCATACAGCAGTGTGGGTGGGAGAAGCCATCTCTGGTTCCCACACACCAGCCGTCAGCCAATCAGGAAGTGGAGATACTTAGAAAAAGTGCATTTGTATCAGAAATGTACAGGAAGTTTCTGTCATTATGTCTGAAATAATACAGTGTAACAACTATTTTCATAGCATTTATATCACATTGGATATTAAAAGTAATCTAAAGATGGTGTATATAGAAGGATATGTATTAGTTATATGTGAGTATGGTAGCTGTGTGTGTGTGTCTAGGGGTTGAACCGGGGCATTGATCATGTTAGGCAAGCTTCCTACCACTGAACTATATCGCGAGCCCTTTCGAGTTTATTTTTTGGTGATGATGATGATGATGATAGAGGAGGGAGGAAGGGAGGAGAAGAAAAAAGAATAATACTAATAATTTCAGGGCAGGGTCTCCTCAAGTTAGTTGTCAGCCTCCTAAGTAGCTGGATTACAGGCATGTGCCTCTGCCCCTGTTCTGTACTGCTTTATATAAGGCACTTGAGGGTTTTTGGATTTTGGTGTCTAGGGGGCGAGACTAGTATCAGCCCCACCTCAAGACTGGTTGGCCCCTTTTCTCATTCAGTAGGCTATCTCATTTGAGGAGGATAATATATTTCAGAGAAGTTTTCTCCTGGATCTTAGATTTTTTTTTTTCATTTGAAAAATTATTTAATCCATTTTTAACATTTAAAAAATTGGGACACTACCCCTTGCTGAAAAGAACTGGTGCCCTGCTCCAGCATTCCCATGCGCTCACAGCTGGCCCTCTACCTGGGACCTGTACTCCCCTGTAGATCACAGGACCACTAGGTATGTGTTTGCGATCTCGAGCAATGGCCATTGGGTAGAGGCTGACTGGAGAGTTATCTCCAACCCCCAAGGGGCCCACTCACCATCCTGACTGGGGAGACAAGGGCCTAGAAGACCAAATGTCAATCTCCACCTTTATTGGAGGACACTCAGCCCTGTGATTGTTTTTAAATAACCACGCCCTGCCCACCCCCAGGGCCCAGTGGGCTCAGACAATCATTTCCAACTGCCGGGCATACTCGATGACCTGTTCGGCCAATTCCGTGGAGGGGATGGTGGTATCTTCTGGCTTCTGCTGCTGGCTGGCAAAACTGTAATAGTTGTTGGGCCCTAGGACCCACCCTCGCTTCTTGGCATAGTCTGTCATCTTTTTGGGTGTGTTGAAGAAGAGAATCCAGGTGGCCTCAGTAAAAAGGATTTTTTCATAGGCCTTCTCAATGCACCCAGCAATCTCATCCCTGATAGTGTCCAGCAGGATGTCGATGAAAAAGGTATAGCTCTCAGCAGGTATGTTCCCCTTGGCCAGGAACACCTTGTTGTAGCTGCCCTCCATCAGGTATTGTTCAGAGGACACAGAGTGCTTGATGTAGACATTGGTCTGGATATCCTTGGCAGGCAGATGCTCCAACTCCGTGTGGAACTCAGCCACGCGGTTCTGGGACAGCAGGAAGAGGAGGTTGAGGCCCAAGAGCTGGTGCATGTAGGCCGACTCAGGGAGCTGCTCCTTGTAGTCAAAGTAGTAACATTTGAGCTGGGCCATGTAGCGTTCGAAGGAGGGGATGTTCTTGCGTAGGATGCTCCACTGGGCGCCGATCTCCAGAATGTCACGGGCCAGTATGAGCTGTTGTTTGGTCAGCTTGGTCCCTGTGGTTGGCAGGAAGTTGAGCTCCAGCAGAACCAGCTTGAGGTGACCCAGTTCTTCCCCGCATTTGCTAAGATTGGGGCTTTTACGGTTCCACTCGCCCTTGAGTTGCTCGTACATCCCGGCTGCCGCCTGCAGGACCGCGCCCGAGGCCGCCGCCGCCGCGGTGCTCGAGACTCCGGCCGCCCCGTCCACCGTCGCGGCCGCCATCTTCCGTGATGCCGATCTTAGATTTTTGAAAGTTGGAAAATAGGGAACCCTCAGCTATGTAGAAAGCATATTTTCCTAGGGTGATTCCATTTCTAGGTTGACCAAAGCCAGAAGTGTGTAGCTTTTTAGGTCCTTCTCCCATGTCTAGATGATTTGGCACCACCCAGCTAGCTTGTGAACGTGTCTGTCCTTGTTTTCTCTGTATCCGTGTGTCTGTGTTGCCTCTACAGCCTCCTGCCTGGCGTCATCTGTCTGGTTTCCTCTTGAGCACCGGAACACTCGGTAGACGCCGCAGTGGGAGCTGGGATAGTGGAGTCTCTCCAGACCTCTCCCTGGAGTCGCGCCTTGCTGTTACCAGGCCCTCGAAGGCCCTTACTGGGGTCCTTGCAGGCACTGTGGCTGCTTACCCTTCTGCTCCTGTAAGGGTCCACCGGGCCTCCAGGAAACCCTCCCAAGCCTCTCCTGTCTGTTCTGCTGGTGACAGATAGTGTCTGCTCCCTGAGTACTTGCTATCTGTCATAATTTTCACCTCATTCCTGTGATTATTGACATGGTCGCTCTTCTTTTCTCATTAATTTAAAATAAATTAACTATATCTAAATTGATGTATAATAATTGTACATATTAATGGGTGCAGTGTGCCATTTTAAGACAGGCATGTAGTGTTCTGTGATCCAATCAGAATAATTAGCATCTCTGTCAGCTCAGACATAGATCATTCTTTTTTTTTTAATATTTATTTTTATTTATTACATCTATTTATTGTGTGTGTGTGTGGCCAGCTCAGCCCACCAGGGGGCGGGGCTGGCTGGCATGTGGTGCTGGAGGATTGAACCGCGGTCCCTGATGCTTTGCCAAGCTTGTTTCAAGTAGGTGCTTTAGACCACTGAGCCATCTCTCCAGCCCCATATAGATCATTCTTGTGTGTGTTGAGAACATTAGAATCTTCTGTTAGCTACTCTGAAATAATGGCCGTAGCCGTCATTATCCCCCCATGCTATGGAGCGTTGGAAGTTAGTCCTTCTGTCCAGCTTGGTACTACCTTTAGGGAGAAACACTGCTGCTTTTGTCTCTCCCCCTCAGCACACACTGAGCATCCACGAGCCAGGTGGAGCTTTGTTGTCTCAGAAGGCAGAGGCCATGTTTAGTGGAAGCAGGCTTGATTCCAGGGGCCTGTGATAGTAAAGGAAAAGGTGGACTAGGGCTGCAGGACTGAGCATCGTGTTCTGCATCCCTCTGAGCCTGGGAAGGAGCTGGCTTCTCCTGTGTCATGCGATCAAAGAAGGAAAGGGCTTGAGATGAACTGGCTTCCTTGTTAAGGGTGGGGTGTGTGTGTGTGTGTGTGTGTGTGTGTGTGTGTAGGGTGTCCATCCATCCATTGTCTGATTCTTGTCATTTCAAAGAGCGGATAGTAAGCTTCAGATGCTCTTTGACATAGACTTGGCAGTAGTGAGGTAACTGGTGTAGGAGTAGAGATTACAAAATGCTGCACTTAGATGGACTCAGGAGAGATGTAGCCAATAGCCTGAAACTGTGGCCACGGTGCACGTGTTCTGTGGGCATGGATACTGTTGGGGGAAGAGACTGTACCTGATTGAACGCCTCAGTGATTTAGGAGATTGAGAGCCACAGATGAAAATACCCCTAGGCGCATCACGTCACTCAGATGGCTGAAGCCCTAGAGAGGATTTTAAGTGGCAGCAAATACAGATTGAGTGAGTGAGTGATTGATTGATTGCTTTCTTTCTCTTTTTTTAAAATGTATTTGGTTGTTGCAGCTCGGACTCATGGTGATCCTCCTGCTTTCAGCCTCCCCAGTGCTGAGATTACAGGCGTGCGCCACTAAGCATGGACTCTGGCTGGCTCAGCCCACCTGTGGACGGGGCTGTGCCACTTTTGATGCTGGGATCGAACTGTGGTCCTTGGGCTTGCCTAAGCAGGTGCTTTAGTCTGCTGACCTGTTTCGCCAGCCCCACGAATACAGATTTCTGAGTAAATACAAATCCAACATTCAGACCGTCTAGGCTGACACAGTGCTTGTAATGCTGCTTGTTGCCCTTGCAGACTTTAGAAACTAGTCATGTTTCAGTCCGTCACATGTGTAGTGAGGCAGGACAATCTGCTGGTCTGGTCCTGTACCTCAGCACTTGTTTGGGGGTTTGTGATGAGCCAAGAAAATGCTGATCAAGCGCTCCTTAAGAATTCTGCAGTAAGGAATTTACTGATTAGTTTGCCTCTCTGAAATTACCACTTGGAAACTTTCTGTGTGCTGTCTTGTGTGACTGAGTTGGTGTAGATGTTACGATGAAGCCAGTTTGGTAAGGATTCTAATGAACAGAGCTTATTGATATTTAACCAAGTATACAGAAGAGTTTGCTGAAGCTCATTTCCAAAGTAACAGTTGTGAAATCCTCAATCTAACTTGGCTTGCATGTCAGTAAAATCTGCATGATCCCCAAAGCAGTGACAAAAGCCTCCAGTAGAGGGCCACAAGCATCTCTGGGTGGTTGGCCTGGCCCAGTTCCTCATAGTCTGTTCATGGCTCTTCAGCTCATTTAGAGGAAGCTGGTGTGAACAACACATTGCTTTAGCTGTGGATTAGCCAGATGAAACTGTCATTGCTCTGTGAGAACTACATAGTTAATCTTGGGAAGATTACGGTTCTAAGTGGCTTCTTTTCCAGTATCCAGTGGCGTCCGTTGGCAGGCTGTTAAACAGGACTGGACTGTGTCGTAACCAGTCATAAGACGGGAAAGCTGGATGTACAGCTCGTGCTTGCCGTAACGGTGTAACGTGCCTCATCCGGCCTGTGGTGTTTGGGCCGCCATGCTCCGTGCTGAGGGATTTCCTTCTGAGGCCGTCCTGAGCGTAGCACGTTGCACTCCAGTGTCTGCTGCCCCTGTGGGAGCAGCTCCGAACGCTGTGCCCACCTCTGCCAGCTGCGGGAAAGGGAGGCATATTCCTAAATATTGCTTAGGAAAATATAGGTTGGGTAGTTAAAAACCAACAGTATCATTTACTGGTTTGGGGATTTCTTATTGTTGCAAACCAGAAGCTTTATGCCCTGACAGTGTAAACAGAAAATCACCGTGAGTCACGCCAGAGTTTCCTCATGAGGCCTCCATTTCAGCTGGACTCTGCCTCGGCCCCTCGTACTTGGTTCTTGTGGTCCAGGCTCGCCAGTGCTGGTGCTGCTGTGGAAATGCTCTTCATCCACGATGGCATCCGTGTGCCACGTCGACGGGTTCTTTTCTCAGTTCCTGAGGATGATCCCAGAGCTGGCACTGAAAGTAGCTGCTTTTCTGTATTTGTGTGGCTGGAAATTATTTTCCAAATGTCTTGTCAGGGATAGAGACTTAACATTGAGAGGTTTTTTCCTCTTAATTTAAAGGTCTGTTTCCTAAGATCAAACACAGCCTTCCATACCGTTTATAGTATCTCTTCCATGGTCTTTACCCAGAAGTTCTGAGTGATTGGTATATATGTAAAACTTTCTTTTTTGCGGAACCGGGGATTGAACTCAGGCCCTTGTGCTGTGTAAAACTTTCTGAGGACCTACGCGTGCTCTACCCTGGCCAGATTCCTGTACTCATTTCCAGTGCAGTGGCTGCTACCTGCGTGTGTGTGTGCTGTGAAGTAGCCACATGTGAGTGTCTGTCTGGGAGCCGTTAGATTGCTTCGTCCTTATTAATGTTTTTGGCAAAGAGTAGCAGGTAGTTTGTTAGTAAGCTGCACAGGACACTGATTTCTCTGGCCCGAGAGTCATGGCTTGAAGTTGGCCAAGCCTGAAGCCTTTCCTCTTCAGTTTCATCTGCTGGGAAGCTAAGATGCAGACTCGGGCATTTTCTTACAAAGGGCCAGAGGGGCCAGGGTTCAGCCAGTGATGGCAAGCCTTTTAGAGCCTTCGGGAAGAAGCAAGAGCCTGCCTTGGCGCGGTGCTCTATGTAGGTTCGCCACCATCAGATCAGGCTGTGCACGCCCCTGTCTGTGCAGCAGCTCCTCAGCTCTGCGTTGCAGCAGGAAAGTGGGGGGAGCTGTAGAGGCGCGGGGATGCGCCCGCGGCTGTGTTTGGTAAGACGGAGGCTGCTGTAGTCCCCCACGCCTTGATGATGACGTTGATGTGCTTCTGCTCGCCTCGGAGCCTTGAGTGGGTCCTGCACCCAACACCTGCCACCTGCCTTCCTCAGGTTTTTATTAGCCCAGGTATAGATGTCCCCAGGCTTTTGATGGCCAGGTTTTTGTCCTGTGGTTTTCTTATTTGAAATATTGAGTTTCTTTTTTCCTATGTATTACTAGTTTCTAGTGGCCTCTGAGGTGGTGTACACAGCTGGATATTGGAATACAGCAGAATATGCCAGGAGGCAAACTTAGAAATTCATTCTGAAAGCACCATTGACTCAGAGTTTTACCAGACTTTGCTGGATAAGCAAAAACTGTAAAAAAAATTTGTATCTTGTTGTCTTGTAAAATTCTAGCCCACCAGGTGATTTCTGTCACTTTAGAAGCACTAAGCAGCTCCTCGGCCCCAGCCTTGGACACAGGTCCAGATAAGACTGTGGGCGGGGCCCGCTCTGCGCATTTCAGCTGTTCAGTAGCATTGCGGCCTCTGGCCACTAGATGCCAGCAGCACTCCAGTTGTGAGTGCGCGTGTCCCCTGTGGGGTAAACATTGCACTGTTAGAGAATAATTTAAGCAAAACAGGGGTGGATTGATCTCTGTTCTGGACTCTTAACTGAGGTTTGTAAAGCCAAGCATTTTGTTTCTTAAAAAATACGTAAAAATCCCTTACGTGCCTACTCCTTTTATTGGAATTAGTATAAATGTAAGTACAGGATACAGTTTCCACTAAAGTGACTTGGCATTCTCTTCTTAAAAACCCGTCCCTATCTTGCTCTTTCTTTGTTTTATCCTATGTATTTTTACAAAGCCACTTCATTTTTCTTTTCTAGGTAAAGCTCGGTTTCTTCAGGCGCGTGCATTGAAGTCCTGCTTTAGAAAGCCCTGCCTTCGTGGCTGTCCCCCGACTGCAGTATGCACCCCACTGTAAAACGTTGCTCTTTTGCACAACAGGTGCCAGAGTGGGCCACCGCTCGTTGATGAGATACTACAAGCAGCGATTTGGCTTGTCCAGAGCTGTGGCTGTGGCTAAAAATCAGAAGGCCGTGGGCAGGGTGCTCCAGCAGTACAGAGCCCTGGGCTGGACTGGCAGCACAGGTACGGGGGTCGTGCTTGCGCCTGCATGAGACGGTGCTCGGTGACTGGGTGTTGGTCTGTGCTGTCCTTGGGGAGCCTCTGGAGAGCCTGACTGGGGGCGCTGGGGTTCCCATTGCTGCTTTCCGTTTCCACTGGGCTCCTTGACGTACAAGCTGTATTCCTGACAAATACATTTATGTACACCATTATGGTTTTCAAAAGTTCTTAGTTACAAAAAGAGTATATAGTTAGCATTGCAGGCTGAAATTATCCTGAAGACTGCGCAGGGGCCTTCCATAGCATCCTAGTGGTGAGAGCTTGAGCCGTGGAATTGAACATGACCTATACGATACACTTAGATTCTCAAGTGATGAGCATGAGTAATTAGTCTGAGCTTCTGTTTTCTTCCTTTGTTCCGTGAGATGTTAAGGAAAGGACCTGCCTCTTAGAGCCAAGGGGGCTGGCTGTCAGCAGGCGCATCCACCGCAGGGCGTTAGCCTTCAGGGCCCACCACACTTGGATTCAGAGGATGAAGGCGGGGCGGTGAAATTGCCCAGCTTCGAGAGCTCCTCAGCATGGCACCATCCTGATGAGTGTGCTGCCAGGAGTTGGTACCCTTAGCTTCCAGGAGAACGCGTGGTGAGCTGGCAGGCAGTAGGGAGGGTAAGGGTCGCGCTGCCTTCTAGGCGTCTAGAAAGCAGGGGCACTAAAGCCCATTGTATTTCTTTTTGGTTAACTTACTCATTTATCTCTTTCTAAAAGAACAGAATATATTTACTGGAGAAGGGAAGTTTCTGTCTGAGAGATAGAAGGGGTCCCTAGTGGGTTGCTGTGGCTCCTTTCTTTTCTGGAGATTTTTGTAGAGCAAAACCATGAGGTGACGTGGGTTCAAGGTGGGGAAAAATGGAAAGGCACAAGACGGGCGTGAGGTGGGACAAAGCTATGGTAAGGGCTGGGCAAGGACATAATGAGATTTGAAGCATGAAGTGTTTGTTACCTCCGCGAGTCCCAGTCCAGAAGCTGTGAAACAAAAGCTAACTTTCACCTGCGTTCAGTGGTCTCGGTGGAAGACCTCCAAGTGGTGAGGGGAGAGAAGTGCCCAGTCTTTAGGTGTCTGGGAGGAGTTGTGTTCTCCAAAATGATGAATTCTAGGAGCAATGGAGGTTAAGGGAAGAAAGTGTTTATTGAGGAAAGAAAGCTTCTGTCTGAGAGACAGAAGGGGTCTGGAGCAGGTTGCCCTCGCCTCTTTCTGAGATAGTATTGCTGTATGTTCAGGCTGACCTTGAACTTGCTGTGTAGTCCGGTCTGACTTTGAATTCGAGGCTTAGAATCCACTTTAAGGGCTCGGTGTGGATCTACGCAGGGCTGCCCCAGTGCTGCAAGGCCCCTGAGCCTTGCGGGGACTGACATCATCTCAGGAGGGCTGTCATCTGATGGTGATGGTCTCTGCCTCAGTGGGGCCGGGAGTCCCTTGAAGCTGGCGCAGATGCTGTGCCTAGCACAAGAGTGGTTATGTACAGAGGTGCTGGCGTGTAGTCAGGCGCACAGAGCCCGCCCCTGCTTGGAGCCCCCTGCTTGCCCCTCTGCATGTGAAAACCCCCAGGCCACAGTGAATCTGTGAGGCGGGGCTGCCTTTGACCGCAGGGACCCTAATGAGTCTTGCCTTGATTCTTGGCCCTGCCCGCAGGCGCAGCCCTGGCGCGGGAGCGGGACATGCAGTATGTGCAAAGGATGAAGTCCAAATGGCTGCTCAAGACCGGGATGAAGAACAACGCCACCAAGCAGATGCACTTTCGGGCCCAAGTGCGGTTCTGAGTCCATGGCCAAGCGAGGCATCTCAGCGTGGCTTCCCCCTGGCTAAGGACCGGTCTCGGGTGGGGACAACCCTTCCGCTGCTGTTGGTTTGTTCCTGAACCTGTAATAAAAGTTGGAATCAGAGTGGTTTTCAGACATGATTATTAGATAGTGTTTTCGGCTGATGTTGAAACAGTCAGCTGGAGGCGCGGACCAGCGTGTGCTCCGCAGTTGCTTCCTGGCCTTGGCTTCTTCGACTCTGTCTCTCCAAGACTATAAGGTGGGAAAATACCAGTAGTTTTTCAGCTTCAAACGAATTCAGAGTTGCTTGCCACGCCATGGCACTGGGACCCATGTGACGGGCTCACGTGGGAGCGAAATTGGCTGTCACAGCTTGTGGGGTGGTGTCTAGGGTTGTGGTTAGACCGGCACATAGAGAGCATCAAGACTCGCTGTGTCGCCTTTCATCCTCGGGGAAACCCAAGAAGGGCAGCACCAGGCTCTGCCTCAGCTGTGGGCTACATGTAGGGGAGCGGCTTGTTCAGGGGATGAAGGTGAACCGTCCAGGATTGTTCTGGGCACATCGCCTCGGAGTGAAGTCTCCGCAGCGAATCACAGTGTGAGTGGCTCAGGGAGGGCACCTGCCCTGGAAGTGGTGCTGCTCAGGACCGTCTCAGCCGGGACCCTGACTATGACTGCAGGACCCACGCCCAGCCGTCACTGGCGCTGACCTCGTGTGGAAAGCTGCCCCCCCCCAGCAAACAGGTGCCACCAAGGCCCGAGGTCAGGCAGCGCACTGCATGCCGAGTGTGCAGCGGGCTCCAGGAGGACACTGCCACCCTGATGCCGCGTGTGACTTGACCTAACTCGGGTGCATAGCCCAAGTAATTCTGCTTCTTCAGCACGCAGGTTCTCCCCCAACAGCAGGGGAGCGGCCCTGCGTTACTCCTTCCTTGTGTTTCCCAACATTCTTCCCACAGAAGTGCCTAGTCTTGGCCCAGCTTTCAGTCCAGATCCTGGGAAGTGGTGCGGCAAAGCGTGCATGTGGCATATTTTTAATTTATACTTACCAAGTGCGCGTGATACTGGGTTACAACGCTTCACAGCTTCGCTTTTCCTTTAGCACTTCTTCACAGAACATGCGGCTGTGACTAGCTCAGAGCTTCCTGCTGCTGCCTGGTGGTGTAGATTGTGTGTCTACCTCGGCCTCCTGCAGCTTCCCTGGGGCTGGTACCTTGCTTGTCTCTCTGACCGCGTCAGCCCAGCACTGACAACCTGTCCTTTAGACACTTGCTCCTAATTTATTGCCTTTTTACCCTGGGGGGGGGCGGAGAGGGGGACAGTAGGGACAATATGTTTGCCGATTTAAAATACCAGTGCTGTCTGCATTTATATTAGCTGCTGCTTCCAAGGTTAGCAGACACCTTTTTCTCCTTTTGGGTTTGTGCAATGACCTACTTTGTCACCTCTATAATTTTATTGAAAAACAGCAATGAGACAGTTTCAAAACCGATTAATAGGACAGTTTCAATAATTAATACATTGCATATTGTTATCTTCTTAGTGGTTATTCATAATACAAGATGCAGACAAGATATCCTATCCAAATACTATTACTACAAATCTTCTCATTGAATTAAGAGAAAACAGCTGTATATCTATCCTGAATATTTTGTATATACAAATACAAAATGGTTCTTCCTTTGTATCCTCCTTTTTTGTTTAGTTTTGTCAGAGATGGGTATTCCATTGCCATTTAAATATTGTAGGTGTGTGAATTCAGCAAAAATAATCCAATATAGTCCAGTAGTCCGTAATAGTAGTGGGTTATCCATAGGACTGGCAATGTCAGAAGTTGTTGAGCCTTTTATAGCTCAGTATATTAATATGGCTTTACTTTTTCTACCTCGTTTTTATACTTTTTTGCTGGATGGTTAAGACCAAGATAAAACAAGACCTATATACCAAGAATTGTAGGTTTTGTATCTGATAAGGTCAGTCATATCCCCTCAGGATTTATCCTGAAACCCTGTACCACAGTTTGTAGATCCTTTCTTAGTGTCAGTCATGTGAATGAGTCATGGCTATTGCTTGACTAATTTGCTCTCTGTGAAAGCCTGAGGTAACGTTTTCTCTCCATGTGACTCTCCTTAGGCACACTTTACGTCATCGATCACGTTGCTCTGTGGCCCCATAATCTCCTTGATCAGAAAATTTGGGACACAACTGAGTCGTATGATGTTACAGTATAGGTTCTCCTATGTCCTGAGTCCTCACTGACCTTAAAAGGCTAGGGCCAAAATGTTGGCTGTCCTTGTAGCCCTTCTTTTTCTCTGATTTTTGGTTTGCAAACTTAGGTTGTTAACCCTCCAGGAAAGAAGTTTATTATTACCCTACAACATATGCAGTTGGGTTTAACCTTACTATCTGTCTGAATATCAAACATCTTAGGCATATCATGGAATTTTCCATTTAGTATTGATATGTTAAACTTTAAGTCTACAGAATATGGAGGAAAATTTTTTTAAAAATATTAAATATGAATAAACAATTACATGTTTTTACACAGCAATTTAGAAATCTAACCATATGTTGTATAGTCTTCCTAGTAGAACTCAAAAGAAGAAATACAAATAGAAAGATAAAACAATGAAAAGAAAAGCGATAACTTGAGGATTGGACAGTGAGGAGAAGGCAAGGAGGAAGGCTGGGAAAAATGACAGGGGCAAAGCCATACATTTATACGCACAAGATGGGTAAGGCAGTGATCCTGAGAAACATCAGCAGGTTTTTGAAACCAGCAGTTAATCGGTAGGATTCTCACCCTGACTATATTTGCTGATACCTGTGAACCAAGCAACTGCACTGAAGATAGCAATGTGTAATAGAGGGTCATGCTTGGAATGCCTGTCATTCTGGTCTTCTAAATACTGCTTGTCATGACATACCAATTATTGCCATACTGTCTGTCAAGTAAATGTTTGTTTAAAAACAAAAAGGGTGGGGCTGGGGAGATAGCTCAGTGGAATAAGCACTTGCCTGGCAAGCGCAAGGACCTGAGTTCAATCCTTGGTTCCACAAAAAAACCCCCAAAAAACAAAAAACAAAAAGGGTAATAAATGAAAAAAAAGACGAGAAAAAATGTCACAGGACTGTCCTGTATATGGTTAGATTTCTATAATTTTATAAAATTGAGTTTACTTGCCTTTCTGGTTTGTGCAGACTCTTGTGGGCATGTTAGTGCTGGACTCCCTGGCACATTGGTTCACCTGGCCTAATCTTGAGTCAGAAGTCCTCAGGATCAGAAGCCAGGCACCGTCATCACCTCACTCCCTCTCCACATGCGATGCCAGAGCCCTGGCGGTCGGCTGGCTGTGCTCACCGCTGACCTCTGGCCTGACACAGGCATTTTTTCTGCCCGGTGCAGTATGAATGAGATCCACTGAGTATAAACATACCCCCGCTGTGAGGTGTACACAGGAGGAAGTAGGGGACGGTCAGTAACTGTAAGGGAGACAACCAGAGAAGCCAGCGATGACTGCGGTCCCCCGTTCTCAGTGATCTCACCCATCACTGCGATGGAGCTGGGGCATTGTGCTCATTCCGCTTGCAGCCACTAGAAAAAAAGCTCAAAGTGTTACTATTCAGTTATTTGTCCAATATTACATAGCTGTGTCTGTTAATCTGAGCAACAGATTCGACAATAAAAATAGGTAATTAACCATGTTAATTTGCTGTTTTTGTTCTGAAAATTTGTGACATGTAATGTACGTTACCCTGTTTCTTTTTGTTCTGCTATTTTTGCTTTTGAGTTTACTCTTCAAAATAAAAATAAATCTAGAAGAACAGTCTAGCGTCTACATTTATGAAAAAGAGCACCTTTGCTTGATGAAAATGGGAACTTTTTGCTTCCGAATTGATTTATTTGTGAGTTGTTTTTCTCTGCCATCGTTACCATTTCTGACTTAAGATGCTGGACGTTTCGAGTTGTGAATTTACAATAATTCCCATGCAGGAGGCAGACAGGCATTGTGTGGCCAACTCTCAGTGTAGGAACTCTTCTTTTTGCAAGAGAATTCTTGGCAATCCTGGAGGAATTTATGTCTTGAAGGTCGTGTGTCGTTTGGTCAGGCTCAGTTACCCAGGCACATGAGCTATCTGTGATAATGTAACTGGTCGAGAGTGAGATGATTTGATTAGCTTGTTGATGCTGCAGACATCTGAGTCTTCTAGTGGTAATGTGCTGGTCATTTGTGGGGCAGTCTGCGATTTCCCTGATCTGTTCTACCTTAAGAATGCGGCCTTCTAGCCCGGACCATTTCCCAGCATCCTCTCTGGCAAGATATGATCATGTGACTAAGCTTGGGCCAGTGTCTGTTCCCAGATACAGACGCAGTTTTGTACAGATTACAAGCTGCCTTTCTAAGTGCCACCTCATTTTCCTCCTGAGCTGGACATAAGCTGTGCCGTTGTCACCCAGAGGAGGACAGTACTTTGGGGGTGGCAGTGTGGATTGAGCCTCATTGGTTAAATGTCAAGAAAGTAGTGGTGGGCTGGGGAGATAGCTCAGCAGTCTGAGTGCCTGCCTGGCAAGCACAAGGACCTGGGTTCTATCCCCAGTACTGCGTGCCATGCTGGTCCCAGAACCCCAGGTGTGCCCTGCTGGCCACCAAAACCAGGTGTGGTGGCGCCTGCCTGTAATCCCAGTGCAGGGGAGGCTGAGACAGAAGGACTCCTATGAGTCCAAGCTGCCTAGTGAGACCCTGTACAAAATAAAGATTTAAAAAAAAATAATGGTACCTTGTCAGAGTTGGCTGGATTGTTAATGTGACACAAATGGAAGTCATTATGTTGTGCAGTTTGTGTTGCAGAAGCCCATCTTATAATGTAATAGGGTAAAGCTACGTAGTTTTTTTTTTTTTAATTTAAAAAGCCATTATTACTGCGCTCAGCCCCCCCCCCCAGCTGTCACACAGGAGAGGACCAAAAGGCAGAAAGGCGGCTAGCCCAGGAAGCAGGGGCCTTTTAAAACATAGAACCACATTGAGTTTGGTAAACAAATTCATTGTCTGACACAAAATAATACTTTTCAGGGTCAGTGTGACCACTATTCAGACTAAATTTCCTGGGGCTTTTAGTTTCTGGTTATCTTGTTAACGTAACTCGGTGTAGTGCAGATTTGCTCAAGATATAATTGCTGTTTCTTCCTTGCTCTCGGACTGCATGGGGCTAATTCTAAAGCAGGGTTAGGTCTGGATACAGTGGGAAATAAGAGACTCATGAATCGGGGTTTTTTTGTACATCAGTGTTTTCAGCATGGCTTCTGTTTTGAAGGCCATATATGCTGAAAAAAATGTATCTTCAATCTCATATGGCAGGTTTGCACTGGGCCTGCTGATTGGGAGACACCGCTCCCCTGGAGAGGTGGGGTGTCCCGGCCTTGGTGCTGGGCCAGCCTCACCTCTCAACGATACCGCAGACTCCTGCAGCCAGCGCTCTCCTGGGCTCTTCACCACGGGAGAAGTCCGACTGCCCGCGGAGTTTGTGCCCGGCACATTCCCAGGCCCCACAGAGAGGGTGCCCAGCTGCTCCCTTGGCATTCCGGGCTGAAGTCCTCGCCCGCGGCCACCAGCAGCTGCCAGGGTCCGAGCACAGTGCGTTGTATGTCCTTAGCAGCAGAGCCCTCAGAAGCCTGCAGCCCCCACCAACCTCAGACTCAGCTTCTGACAGACCCCCTGAAAACTCCCCAAAATTCTTGATGCCTAGAACTGGAGGCTATAAAAAAAAAAAAAATTGTTTTCTACACCGAGTTTCTGCCACAGCTGTATCTGGAGTATCGCATCCCCGCATGAGCACCACATGAGCTGCGTGGGTGAACATTATGTTTCTGTTTACCGCGTGTGGAATTTCTGGTCAATGCAGTGTTAAGGTCAAGGTCTTTACATGCGTTCTGTCACCCTGTGTAATTTTTACAACACCCTCATGAAGCAGATGCAGTCGCCAGCCACTGTACAGCGGAGGGTGGTGCGCGCAATCGCCTAGGGTCGCGCTGCTCTCAAGCCCCATCCTCTGGGCTAGAAGAGTGAGAGCCTTTTGGAATGTACATCAATCAATCAATCTTTCTTTCCTTCCTTCATTCTTTTTTTCTCTATTTTTATTTTTTTATTTTATAGAGAAGAAAAATAAGAACAATGGTATAAAATTTCGAAACAAGATTGCAGGAGAGCCAGTGTTCAGTACACTGCACACTGTTATCTTCAGAGTAGTTGCTCATAATACAAGACGCAGGCATGGAAAACCGATGAGGCAGTAGAGGCGTATGCACGTCCTAGCAGCAACTGGCAGCGTAAGAAGGTTAGACTCTCATGACATGGGGTTGGAAATCTTTTGTAGGAAGTACTGTTTGCTGAGTGAGCACAATGCATTTCTTTAGAAGGGTGGGTGTGTATTTAGCATCGACTTAAACTATAT